TGTTAACGCCTGAATATTTTTGTGATCCTGGATGCGGCGGTTTGTGCTATTCAACTCCTCTGGTTCTACTGTTACGACAACTCTACTACAGAGTCACGGGTGTTTTTTGGAGCTGGCCTCCTTTTCAGAATCTAGTAGAGGCCGCGGCTCACTGACCCGTCGTGGTTGACCTTTTTGTAGCAGCATTGTCCACACTTAGGGTATATCGGTTGGAAACCAGTAACCGCCTTAAACGCTGCCTAGCAGCACTTGGCGACCTCTGGTCTAACAACGCCACGTACCCCGACGCGTTGTGTTTGTTACTTGATGGGCGAACCAATGAACATTTTTCTATGCATGACGTTGTTCGTGCGGTTGCCATTACAATTGCACATAGAGATCAACATGTATTTACTGAGCGAAATAACATGGAGAGGGAATGGAGAAATAAAGATGAATTGAAAAAGTGCTCAAAAATCTCGTTAGCTGATACTAGTGTGATTAGCGAGCTTTGGCCTGAAGGTTTGGATTGTCCAAAACTTGATTTTTTCAGTATGGGGATGAAGGATTCTTCTTTCGAAATCCCTGAGAAATTTTTTGTAGGGATGGGTAACCTCAGAGTTCTAAGTTTACTCAACATGAAGTTGTCCTTGTCATTGTCTCTTAGTCTTCTAATAAATCTTCAAACATTATGTTTGAATTATGGCAATTTTGAAGATATAACAATTATTGGAGAGTTGAGACAACTGAAAATTCTTAGTTTGCAATGTTGTCAAATTAAGCAATTGACAGGAGAAATAGGTAAATTGACTCAACTAAGATTGTTAGATTTAAGTAATTGTCGAAATCTAAAAGTTATCGCACCAAATGTTATATCATGCTTATTACAATTGGAAGAATTGTATATGAGTGGATGCTCCATTATGTGGACGGTTGAAGGACTTGAGGAGTTTAAGCATTTGTCTCAACTGACAGCTTTAGAAATATACATTTCCAATGACAGGATTTTGCCAAAGGACTTCTTGTCCAAAAAGCTGGAAAGGTACAAAATATCAATAGGACATTGGTCATTTGGTCAAGACGACATATATGGTAATGATGGGATGACATACATGTATATTAAGAGCTTTTTGTATGATGAACCTGCCACATTAAGAACACTGAAATTGGAATTCAGTTCTGTCAATAAAATTTGGCTAGAGCAATTTCAGTGCTTTAGGAATGTTGAATTCTTGTGCTTAGACAAATTGGAGAGTCTCAAGAATGATGTTTACGAATTAGACAAGGAGGGTTTTTCACAATTGAAACATCTCCATGTCCATAATAATCCTAACATCATGTGCATTGTTGACTCAACAGAGTGCAGACCTTATGTTGCCTTCCCCCTCTTGGAGTCTGTGATTCTTTTCAACTTGACTAACTTGAAAAAGATATGTTATGGTCAACCCACAACAAAGTCTTTCTACAACTTAAAAGTTATAGAAGTGAAAAGTTGTTCTAAATTGGAAAATATCTTCTCATTCTCCAATGCTAGTAGAAGTCTTCCACAACTTCAAAGAATTAGGGTGAAAGACTGTGAGAATATGAATGAGATTTTTGTTGTTGAAAGAGAAGACAGAGTAAACAAGAATGAAGTGATTGATAAGATTGAATTCTTTCAATTACGCTTCTTGTCTTTGATTAATCTTCCAAGGATTGCAAGCTTCTACTCAGCAGCAAATACACCTTCAACATTGCAAACCAGACAGGTGGGATCATCAATTAATTTGCAGTCCAATGAAATCTATTCCGAGGATGAGCTAGTTAATACTGTCACACCTATTTTTAACAAAAAGGTAATTTGTCTATATTTTCTTTATATTATTCTTATCCTTTTGCTCAATCCTTCTTGTGATTTAAAAACCCTGAGTTTTTTGTTAGTCTTCCCTTCAAGAAAAATGAAGACGCCAATCCAACCAAAGCCACGCACCCTGGAATGACTCCAGAACATCTTGCTCTTGCCCAAGAAGAATTGGCCCAATTAGAAAAAGAAGGTCTTATTGAACCAACCCAATCTCCATGGGCTTGCCAGGCCTTCTATGTCAACAAACGAGCAGAACAAGTCCGCGGAAAGCTTCGCCTTGTCATCAATTACAAACCATTAAATTGGTTTCTTGCTGATATTAAGTTTCCCCTTCCTCGACAGGACTTTTTATTCAGCTATTTAACCAATGCTCGTATCTTTTCCAAGTTTGACCTCAAAGCTGGTTTTTGGCAACTTGGTCTCCATCCCTCTGAACGAGAAAAGACTGGCTTCTGCATTCCCAATCTCCACTACCAGTGGACTGTGCTTCCCTTTGGTCTTAAAACTGCTCCTTCCATCTTTCAGAAAGCTATGATCCGCATTTTTCAACCCATTTTAAAGCAAGCTCTCATCTACATTGATGATATTTTGCTTTATTCCCCTGACCATTCAAGTCATATGTCTCTCCTTCACCAATTTTACACTCTCCTCAAACAATATGGAGTCATGCTTTCAAAGAAAAAGATGGTCCTCCAGACCACTTCTATTGATTTCCTTGGCATGCATATTGAAGATGGCCAATATCAACTTCAACCTCACATTGGCAGAGAACTTCAACTTCAACCTCACATTGGCAGAGAACTTCTTAAATTTCCAGACTCACCTCTCACTTTCAAAGAAACCCAACAGTTTCTTGGAATTGTTACTTATATGGCTCCCTTTATCAACAAACTTTCTCCTTTGATTCGCCCCCTTCAATTAATGATCAAGAAGAATCCTCCTCCTTGGGGCTCAGACCAAACCGCTTCAGTCACGCGTCTCAAAGAAATTGCTCTACACCTGCCACCGCTCCAAATTCCTTCCAATGGCCAACGGATACTCCAGACAGATGCTAGTGATTCTCATTGGTCCGCTATTCTTCTTGAAGAACTTAATGGGGTTCGCAAGGTTTGTGGATACAAAAGTGGACATTTCAAACCTAGCGAAGAACACTACCATTCTACCTACAAAGAAATTCTTGCAGTCAAACGTGGTATTGAAAAATTTGAATTCCATTTGATCAGCCACCATTTTTTGGTAGAAATGGACATGTCATCTTTTCCCCGCATGCTAGAGTTCAAGCAAAAAGAAATTCCAGATGCCCAACGACTTCGCTGGGCCCAATGGTTTTCTCGCTACCAGTTCACTGTCAAACATATCAAAGGCAAACACAATACTCTTGCAGATTTACTCTCCCGGCCCAAGAAATCCAAGCCCACTTTCCAGATAAACCCATATACAAAAACCCCGTCCATTCCTGTCCTATGCATGATGAATCCTTTTTCGGATCAACCACCCGAAGTTCCGACCCTACTTGAACAAAACAGTTTAGACCAACAACTTCCCTACCTTATCTCACAATACCAAATCCAAACCATCCACACCACCGATTTACAAACTCTTGGTGGATTACACTATCACCCTGAATATCCTTTCCTCACTCTTTTCCATATCTCTGACCCACACACATTTACCACCCCTCTTTTGTATCTCCTTTGGTGTCTCCTTTACAAATACATTTTAGCCTTTGAATTTCCCCTTCAACCCATGGTTTCCTATTTCCAATCATACAAACCCTTCCAACCTACCCCTGGTTTTCCTGAATTCCTGTTTCAAACTTTCCTCGAATGGTTTCACCCTCTCTCATATTGGAAACATCTTTTCACTCAACAAGCATCCCTCTGCACCAAGCTTCATTTTCCTACATCCCATGTTATCTTTACTTTCCAACGAGATCATTACCTCACCACTGACCTCACCCATATTGGCACTGTTAAAAGATATCACCTCCATCCATTTTCCCTCCATACAGACTGGTCTTTCCATCTTCAGGAACTTAAACATTTTCAAACCCATATGTGCCACATAAATAAATATATCCCTCCATCCCTATGGCCTCGCCATAATCCCTCAGAACCACCTTGGGATACACTTCCTCCTACTTACTGCCAAACCTTGATCACCGCTGTTTACCAACATGCAGACTCCCAGGCAGGATCCTCTTCAAATGTCCGCCCAAAAGTCAAAGATACTGTCCCAGTCTGCCAATACACTCAACTCATCAATCACAGCCCCCCCCAAACACTTTATCCTTTAGAATACGACCCAACCCATGCAATCACCATCCCTGGAATACAAACTGGTGATGAAGACCTTAACCTTGTTCTCAACAATCCAGCCTATGTCCAGGCCCAAGTCCGCATGGTCCAAGACTCCCAAGACCCATATTCTCCTGATCCACTCTGGTGGAAGACTCTTGGATACACTCACAACCCAATGGATTCTGACGACAATGAAGATCCAAACAGGACTGACACCTCATCCTCTGAATGACGTCATCCTGTTGCCATCATCCTCTTCCCAGATGAAGACACGTAGCCTCCACCGACTGTCGGCAAGATCTTAGCCGTTTATCTTAATCTTTTGCCACTTGTATTTCACTTTTATGTTGGCCAGATCTTGGCCTTCCACTTGTTGAAATGTTTGTAATCCCTATGTATTACGTGTATGGTTTGTAATGCTTGTATTGTGCTTCCCTTCTCCTATATAAGGAGCCTCCCCTTCTTTCAGAAGGCAGAGAAGAAAAAAAACGCAATAAAAACTTCTTTCTACAATGTCTCTCTCTCTCTAAATTTCTTAATGCATTAGTTCTGTTAAAGATTTCTCCGGCCAGAAGCCCTCCTCCTTCACAGAAGTTTCTCGTTTTAACAGACACTCAGTTCGGCTCTGCCGCGGTTGTCTGTTAACGCCTGAATATTTTTGTGATCCTGGATGCGGCGTTTTGTGCTATTCAACTCCTCTGGTTCTACTGTTACGACAACTCTACTACAGAGTCACGGGTGTTTTTTGGAGCTGGCCTCCTTTTCAGAATCTAGTAGAGGCCGCAGCTCACTGACCCGTCGTGGTTGACGTTTTTGTAGCAGCATTGTCCACACTTAGGGTATATCGACTTGAAACCAGTAACCGCCTTAAACGCTGCCTAGCAGCACTTGGCGACCTCTGGTCTAACAACGCCACGTACCCCGACGCGTTGCCGCATATTTGAGTCCTTGAGTTCACAAACAAGACTTTCTAGTCTATCTCGGGCTTGTTCCATTGTAAGAATAACTCCTTCAAGAATATCCAAGCCCATAATGTATTTGAACAAGTCTGAAATGGTAGTATTGTTTACCATTAGACTACAAACAAAAAAAGTTCTCTTGAGTTCATCACTGTAACTCAATGCTATCTTTGAGTAGTCCTTTTCCAGTATCCCTGCAAACTTTGTTGGGGAAGGCATCTTCAATTCCCGTAACGCATCCTTCCATTGAGATCGAAGTCTCTTGTTCCTTAACGCTCTTGCTATTGTAGTAATGACGATCGGCAAGCCTCTGCATTCCTTACATACGTCATTTGGCAGATAATCCCGCTTAATAATTGTTTGATCAACAACATCAACTGCAGGGGGAGTTGGATTGCTGGTCAAAGGGGCAAAAATTGTGACAAATAATAAAATATGTAAGAAAATGTGAAAATTCTGTAACTTTGATTACCCGCCATCTTTTTAAACAGGCTCCAAGCTTCTTCTTCAGTTAAAAAACCCACCTGGAAATTCTTTACAGAATCCATACTCTGTAACACATTAAGGTCTCTTGCTGTCAACAATACTTTACATCCCCCACGATCATTTCCACAAGGAATTGCGAGAGCCTCCAAATTTAATTCTTCCCAGATTTTATCTAAAATTACAAGGATTTTCTTATCTGTCTTCAATCTTGCATACAACTTGCTTGCTCTTTCTGCCTCCGTCTCAAATTTCAGACTTAACTGATTTGCTAGTTCATCTTGAATCTTTTTAGTGTCTGGTTTGTCAGATACCTCTACGAAAATCACCTCATCCAAGAGCTGTTTTTTCTTGGCTTGCTGACCAACTTCTTTGACCAGCGTGGTTTTGCCAATGCCACCCATTCCGTAAACCCCAATAATGCCCGCCTCAGCATCTTCTACAGCGTTCAACACACCATTCAAAGTTGAGAGTCTGGATTCAAATTCCTCGTAATCTTTGTTCGTAAGCCTAAGCCGAATGTCTTCACGAGTGGTAGGTAGGGAAACTTCACTGAATGTTTCTTTTTCCTGCAGGAATTCAGTTACAGCCTCCACCTTTTTCGATGCTTTCCTGCTATTTTTGTAACAGGTGATCAAGTTGAAACATCGGCTGTTTGTTTTCTCCTGAATCAACTGCTCTGCTTCATCAATGATGGAATCCACTTTCCTCTGCCAGTCTTTAACCTGCTGTTTGATCTTTTCCACGTTGTTTTCAGCCGCAACAACCTTATCCTTCACCTCGTCTCTTGCATCCTTCAGCTTTCCAATTTCTTTTTCGAGATTGTCAAAGTTGCTTTTGTAGTTGTACAAGTACATAAATTGACGCCCTATAGGAGCAGCTAAGCACTTTCCAACTTCTAAAACAGCATTCCCTGCAGCTTCTTCCATTCTCAACCCCTTACAGAAAAAATATATCTGAACCAAAAAAAAAAACAATCAAACAAAACAGAGAAAACAACGGGACAACCGGGGAACAAAACCACAATAACAGAAAAAATAGTGACAAGGAAAATATACCAGCGAAATTAAGATGCAAAAAGTGGATAGAATCGGATTACAAGTTAAAATATGAAGTGATTTGGATATTACTGCTTACTGAAAGAGAAGCAGGGGATCCAGAAGAAGGGGAAGGAGTGAAAAATCTAGTGATCAACAATCACAGTAAAAGTATGTTCAAGCAAATACGAGGAAAGATCTGGTTTTGGACTTTGTTTGGGGCGACTTAGTAGAAGAAAATGAAAAAGAAAAGTGTACTCAGAGATGTCTATAACAGAGGGTTGAAGTGATACAGGAAATTTGCGAATTGTGAATTTGTGATCTCATGTGCTCACTACTAACATCAACATGTGTGTTGAATGGTTCAAAACCAAATTAAAATTATTTTTGAAAGACTCAAAATGTCAGTCAACAAAGAAAGCAACCTGCCAACAAACTTTCTGCGTTATTCAGCAGATACTATTAAATCACCAAATCTATAAAAGTACAGTAAAGCAAAGAAACGCACCAAAAAATATGATAGATCAAATATTAATTGAACTGTTTCTTGCTTTATTTATTTTTATTATTTTTTTGAAGAAGAAAGATTTAGTAAATATCAAAAGTTTAATCTTCTTAAGCCAGCTGAAAAAACAAAACGTTGAAAGTAACAAGGCACTATCATGAATATTATGCCAAAAGTAGGTGTAAATTCCGCAATGAATAAAGTAAAAATGGACTTTGCCAAACTTTCTAATAAAGTAATAATACATTGAAAGTGGTAGTCTTTGTCTTTCATCATCAATAATTGAAGAGAGCACACTGTTTAAGATTCCCTAACAGATATACATACAGAGTAATCATTATTCTTAGCAAGGATGATGAAATGATTAAATTTATGCTCATCAATGATATTTAATTTTCTTCGTTGTATACAGCTAGAGAGAAGGGCGGAAAGTGCAGATGTATTTTTGTCAATGTTTTAAAAATCAACCCAAGCTGAAACCGAGTAAAGTTGTTGGTCTTGAGATGATTAGTTTAAGCGCTTTGATTGACGGATCAAACAAGTGACAAAATTTTTGAAATTAATATATCTCTAAAAATTAGTTGAGTTTTTATAAGTTTAAAATTTAACAAATATACTCAAAATATAAATCGATTGACAATTGATTGACGACAGTAATACTCTAAATGCAATCACAATCATCCCTTTAGCCCATTCTCCATAAAATCTATCTAAAATCTGACTAAAATCAAGTCAATTTTAACCAGATCTCACTAATGCTAGCGTTGGTATTCTAAGTTAGATCTTATTGTCGCCAGCGTCGAAAACCCTCACCATCACCTCGAAAATACTCTCCTCTTCCTTTTGACCAAAATTCCAAGATTGTGAGTTTTTTTCCTTTTTTTTTTTTTTTTAAGAAAAAAAGAAGTTAATCAATTTAGAGATAATTTTAAATTTTAAGGGTTTAATGCCATTTCCCTCAGGTTTTATTGAATAAAATTCCCCTACAAATAATATTTACCCTCTACCATCAATATTTATATTTCTTTAAGATTTTTACCGTCGCCCTTGATTTATTAATTTTACTTCCATATGCTATTTTATGCACATGCTATTACGGTAATGTGTGTTTCTTTATGGTTAACTGAAAGGTGTAGATGTAAAAAGTGGATGGAATTGGACTACAATTTAAAATGTTTCATTTGTCAAATTTTATTCTTAATACATTTTAGGATATGATTCTAAGAATGTTTTTGGTATATTTTCTAAAAATAATTAGAGTATTTTTAGCCTCCTAAGTTTGTTAATTTAATTAAACAGCCTCTACAATGAAAGTTTAAAAATTGATAAAAACACTCATATCCACCCAACTATTGCCGATAGCTGGCCACCACCATTGGATGGTGGTCGTAAGCCCCCGAGATAGTGCACAACGGCTAGATCTAATCGGTCGTGCACCGGTCTAACCTTTTTTAGTCATATCTACTGTGGATTTGGCCGAAAATAACTAGATCTACAACCATAAATCTGGTTGTTGAGAATTGTCATATCTTGGCCATTAACAACCAGATCTTTAGTCATAGATCTAGCAGTTTCCTACCAGATCTATAGTGGATCTCGAAAAAGGACAAATCAATGCATGATCGGTTAGATCCAATTAATCGTCAATCCTTATAACATCGGTGGCTATCGGTGGCTACCGACGGGTGATAGTGGCTTGAGTGAGTGATGATGTTTTTGTTAATTTTAAAACTTTCATTAAGAAAGGTAATTGTTAATGTTTTAAGTTGAATAAAATATGATTGAATTTTAACAAGAATTGTGAATATTAAAACAAACGTGTATTTGGATAGGATAGTGGGAAAAAAAATGAAACAAATGGGCCAACTGGATATTAGTGCTTACTGAAAGAGAAGCAGGGTAGAAGAAGGGGGAGGAGTGAAAAATCCGTAAAAGTACAGTAAAGCAAAGAAATGCACCACAAAAATCTGATAGATCAAATATTAATTAAACTGTTTCTTGCTTTATTTATTTATTATTTTTATTTTTATTATTTTTTTGAAGAAGAAAGATTTGGTAAATATCAAAGGTTTAAGTCTTCTTAAGTGAGCTGAAAAAAACAAAACGTTGAAAGCAACAAAACACTATCTTGAATATTATGCCAAAAGTAGAATGTGTAAATTCCACAATCAATAATATAAAAATGGACATTGCCAAACCTTATAATAAAGTAATAATCCATTGAAGTGGTAGTCTTTGTCTTTCATCATCAATAATTGAACAGAGCGCACAGTTTAAGATTCTCTAACAGATATATATCATCATCTTTCATTGCGTGGTGGAAAGCAAATTGATGCATGCGACCAAAGTTAAAGTGATGACCACAAAAATAATTTAATGTTTTAGTTGGTTTCGTCTTTATCCACGTTCATTACTTCCATTTCCATCATTCCATGGTGTAAAATATTTGCCATAATGATAATGTTTTAGTTGGTTTCATCTCTAGCCAACACCATGAATATATATATGGATTCAAATTATAAAATACCATTTGAGTCTAATAAGATGAACCCAACAGTAAATTAAGTATGATCCTAATAAAATTAATATTATAACGTCTTGATATAGAATGACTAATACATCATTATTCTCTTCTCTGATCAAGATGTCTTGATATTAATTTTATCAAAAATCATACTCATCTATTATTGAATTTAATCTTATATAATTAAGATGATATTTTCTAATTTAGATCGAATAATATATATATATATCGTCAAACATAATTATATCATAATTGGATTATTTTTATATAAAAAACAAAAAATAAAAGATTGTAATATTATATATATTTGACAATATCAAAGCTTGGTAGTCTTCTAAGTAAAAATTGAAAGCAACAGGCACAATCAATAAACATTAAAAATTTAGATATATATTATCATCTTATCCTTCACTTACCTATTTTATATCTTATTTGATTGACTGATTCAGAAAAATAATATATCTAATCTCTGATGGGTTACTTTCTTGCCTTTGCGAACACGTGGGCTGCTTGACTCGTGGAGCTACACTCCTCAGAAAGAGAGGAAAGCAAAAAGAGTTTTTTCTTTTATTGGTGGCGGAGGCCACTTGTGGGAAGGGGAGACGAATCTTCATTGTTTAGAGTTAGAAAGAAGGGGGTAACGGCCAGTATAGTTTAGCAAAACTCTAAAGTCCAAACCCCACTCTTTGTTTTTTCTTTTACTTTTTCTTTTTTTAATAACCGGGTGGATCAGTTCATGTCTAACTCAATTAATATTTTTGGAGGTTAAAACTATCGATAGGTACAAGTCTTTGGTAATAACCCTATTTATAGTTATAGAAACTCAAACTCGAAAAATTATATAAATTTAGAATATTTTTTACTTTTTTTATCATCAAAAATCACTTGATGAAAGTTATCCGAACCCTACTCTCTCACACACACTTTCTCATTTTTTATGATTAGTTTGTGTTTGAGCACTTTGTGAAGATGGACTTGCATATAAAAGTTAAAACCTATTTTGTAATGAGTAATACTAATATTATATTATAAAAAAATCTTATAAAGATTTCTATACAAAATAATGTGGTAAAAAATATATAGAAAAATGAATATAATGAATTTGATTTTTTATAATCACTATTCTATTCATTTTTTACTACGTCACTTTGTTTTTTATGCATGTAGTGACGTTGTTTTCTAATACCCTAAAATTCTGAGATTGTGAGTTTTTTTTTTTAAAAGAAAAAAGAAGTAAATCAATTTGGAGATAATTTTAAATTTTAAGGGTTTAGTGCAATTTTCCTCAGATTTTATTGAATAAAATTCCCCTTCAAATAATATTTACCCTCTTATCATCAATATTTATATTTCATTAAGATTTTTTCATCACCCTTGATTTATTAAGAGGTAAATTATTATTTTGAAATCTCTATAATTAATGTATTTAATAGTTAGTTTAATTTGGTTTCACTGTAAAATCATTTTGTGGGCTCTTGTACAGAGCTAGCCACGTAATTAATCTTTTCCTCAATGTCCATTTATTACCATAAGACTAGAATAATTAAGCTGTTAAAATTATTTTTACTTCCATATGCTATTCTATATACAGTACATGCTATTGCGGTATATATATATGTGTGTGTGTGTTTGTGTGTGTGAAGGTTAACTTGCGCATATCTTAATTAATCCTTTGAAGTCATAGAACTGCAGATTGGGTAGGAGTCATAGTGACCATCCTGTTAGTGCCTCGGAGAACTCAAACTCGAAAGGCCAAGAAATCCTCCCTTGCCCTTTTACTATTAGGCTACCCCATGGTGGTTGTGTAGATGTAATGTTGAAATCAGTCACTTGGATTACCAAGTAAATTTATGATTGTAAGTATATAAACTATTGGAAGTATTCAGATATAATAC